GTTCGCTTTGCTCATTGATTAAAATCAATAGAAATCAACTTATTCACAAATCAATTTGTGCAAAGCCTCCTTTTAGAGGAACCAACAAATTACATTATCAGAGCAGCAGGATGCTAAGCAAATAAAGATAAGGGCTGGGGATTTTGAGGGTGCTGTTCTAAACAGTTTTATATAGATTCATGAGAGGGAGAAAAATTAAAACGATAAAAAGGAGCCTGCATAAGGCATGAGAAGAGGTCGCAAAAGGAAGTGGAAAGTGGTTGCTTCATCTTGGGCCTTTATCCTGCTCCTATTCCTGGTTCCCTTCCTTATTTTTGGCAGCCAGGCAGGCATACTTAATGAGAAAGGAATTTTCAGGACTCTGGAGGTTGAGTACGGCTGAGGCTAAAAGGTTCCCCAAAACATATATATATATTTATTGTCTTAGCAACAGGCATAACATTAACTTTTGTTTATTTATAGAGTCATGTCATATATTCCTGGAGTTGCTGCCAAAACCTTTTTTCCCTGATGCCTGTCAGCCAGTGAAGTTATTGTGTGTGTTTGTTTAGGTGGAAAAGTGAATGGGCTTAAATTAAATTAGAGTGGAAAGCTAGGAAACTTTAGAAAATGTATAAAATATATATCCATGTTTAAATTTATATGAATTTGTATAAATATGACTTTAATACAAACAGGACTGTTATTATTTTACATTTGCAGACATTTAATTTAACACTTTATTTGCTACACTTAGCAAGCCCAATTAAGAGCAAACCACAGAGTAAAATTATGTGCAAATAAGTCAGATAAAGATGACTTATTGCATTTTTGGAATGAAAATCCAATTAAACAAGTCATTTTTGAGGTGAGTTTGCATCCAAGGGAAAGTATTTGATAAATCTCATACCGGCAGCTTCCATGGCACCCGTTGCCTGTCAGCTATTTTGCTGGGCCCAAAGGGCTGACATTAATCCATGAAAATATTGAAATGAAATCAGCTTGTGAACCAGTTAGATGGAGATGGGGTGGGAGAAATGGAGCAGGACTAGACAGTGGCCCTTAGGGGGTCCTATAACTGGAAATAGAGTCAAATCCTGTCGCATGTGTGAGCGCTCTATGCTCCCAGTTCATACATATTACTCGGCATTGTCTGGGTTACTGTATTGTATTGTTGGACAATATGTCCTGCCAGTCAGGCTGTGACATGCATAACGGGATTTGATGCTGATGCTGATGCTGCTGCTGCTGCTGCTTTTTGCGCCTGACATCAAATATGTAAGCAAATCAGTCAAAGGACGATGGCAAAAAGTGCACCAGCATCGACCAACTTGACGGAGCTTAGCAACAACAAGTGAAAACAAAAAGCTATATAGGTCAACACAGCTCTCGAGCAGCTAGCTCAAGGCATGTTTTACTCGAAAGGCAAACAGAAAAAGATTTAAATTTAATGGAAAATGTTCTGCATAAACAGATTTTGAGTGGATTGAGCCAGAGGCGGAAAAAATGTGTGTGTTTGTACGAGACATTCGGGCTATGTACGGGTATTTATAAGAGAGTTTGTCTTTGTCAACATTTTGTGTATTATTAGTGGCAAGTGTTATAAAGATGCCATATTTTGCAGTGCCTGTTTGCTTAGCAAATATCAATAGAGGGCTACTGCCAGTCGAGAATGTTAAAGAACGTGTAGGATTCCATAAGGTGCCTATTTATTATTTAATTATACCTATCAACAATAGGTTTTCATCAGGTATTTATATATTCATTAATTAATAAATCTTTTTTCAACTATTTGAACTTCTTTCCAATCATTTTGCTATTAAGTTGCATGCCATAAATCACTTGATCCCTAGAGACAAAAAACCGCCAAGAAACATTTGTCTTCAGACTATAATTCGGGCACCACCTCCCCACAAAAAGGCCCAGCCCACCTCAAGGTCGTTGGCAGCATTCCTTGGGGTATTAGGCGAGCTTGGGGGCAAAATTTCTGCGCCTGTCCAATGCCTCATTGATCCCGGGACACATAAACTTGTCGGTTTGCCTTTGCTTTCCGTTGAGACAAACATATTGGCAGACGCAAGCAGACATCATAGACAGGCACTTAGCGATGGGCTTAGGGCGTTATGGGTTAAGGAACGAGGCTCAGGCAGGCTAAAAGGGAGGCTGACTGACACACAGACAGACATGCTAACTATGGCCATGAATCAAGCCCATATGAAGGATGGGCTTGTCTCAGCACTGAGCCCCTCAATAAAACTCAAACTTGGAGTAATTGTGAGACCGAGTTCATAAAAATGCCATAACTTGAGACGTGTTCACCCTTTCTTTCTTTCTTTTGTACTTTTTTGGAAGGGAAGACTGATATAAATTCACCAATTTGCCATGGCATTTGTTTTTACAGCTTCAGAGGCCAGACGAACGATATATGTACGTTTATGCAAATTGCTGCGTTTTATGGTGTGCGATTTTTATTATTAAATGTCCTGCATCCTGCCCTCAGAAGCAGGAGTGCTGCAGTGGGTTCATTGCACAAAATGGCACAAAATGTCCTACACAATGGTAATTAACCCAATTTGGCCGGCAGTGTTGATGGCTTGATGGCGTTTCGGACCCGGTCGACCAAAACATTTGCAAGGGAAATTAATGAACGGGCTAATAAGCGACTAGTTATGCCTTCCTCCCAACCCCAAGCCCCTTGTGAAAATCCGCCTCATTTCCACCAACCTCCTTGTTATGTCGGGCAAATTGCCATCATGTGTTCCTGGGCGGATGGATGATTGCAGTTTGAATGGAGGAGCGGAGGAGCCACACATCCACTTGGCCCCGATTGTTGACTGACTCGAAGCGGGGTCGATGGTTTGGCATTGTGGCAGTTTAGTTGTAGTTTCTGAATATGTTAGCCATGCAATTGGCAGATTACGAGATCCTAAGGGTACTTGCAATGGAGTAATTGCATCCATAAGGAGGTCTTGACTGGTGTACTTTTGGCATGAAAGGTTACGTCATTGAAAAAAATGTAAAGCTCTTTAAATTAGTTCATTGTTCAATAAGTTATTATAATCCCCAGTAAGGGTATTATAATAGGTACAAATAAAGAATAAACAAACCCAAGTGTCAGGCATCGACCGCATCATTGTCACTCAATTTGCTGGTCTGACATTTGAACTGTTTGAACCATGTCTTAGTCCAGACATTCAGACCAAAATGAAAAACTGCAGCCATCGATTTCTCAAAAAAAAATAAAGAAGCGAAAAACAAAACACAAGTCGGAGCAGCTGAGGTTACCGAGCAGACCAACAAGTGTGAACCTCCGGGCCAGGCATAATTTGTAAATGTCTTGACATGAAATCAAGACACAAAAACTGCTCCTCCAGGCTGCCAAGTAGTCCGAGAAAAAAGGCAGAGCTCACTTTTGAAGCCATACATGATTTTGCAGCAAGTTCTGCTCGGAGTGACCTCTTCCCTCTATATTCCTCAATTTCGTTCTTCTTGGCCAAGTCTTCAGCCTTGTCATTGAGGCATGTGACCCATAAAAGACACAATTGGGCCAAACGCTTGGAAACTGTTGACAATTTGAATTTGGGAAATCTTAACCAGATGGCCTTAAAACTGGGGAGAACACTGGGAATAAAATATGAAGGATTGAACTTTATTTTTCGATACCCTTTGGGTAAAATACTTAAGCACATAACTTGCAAATAGTAGGAAAAAAATACAGTATACGCATTTTTTCTGCAAGAAAAATTCACTTTTCTAATTAAAAACATATACAAATATAACATTTTCAAAGTGTATTCAAGGAAAACATGAACGAAGACTTGCCCCACAAAAGAAATGAATCAAAGTTTCCACGTGCAACAAGACAAAGGATGTTGGGCAAGTTTTTCAGCAATCTGCATGTAAAATATTTAACACAAAATGTTTTTGTATATATTCTCCCATTTTCGTTATATTCAAGCACAAAATGTGCCCTGGCCCAAGGGCTCTTTCCAAGGGTCTATGCTGGGTGGAAAACGGTGTAACGATTGGTGAGTCTGGGTATAAAAAAAAGGAAAACCCATGAGGAAAGCTATGGTGGAAAGTTATGGAGGAAAGCTACGGAGCGTGGGCTGAAAAATAATGAGCGTCATGCGGCGTCGTCTGATAAATATAGCACAGCACAAATTTATATATGTGAGCAACAGTTGTTGATGCCATAAGCGATAAATTTTTGCCAACTCATGGCAAATTGTGAATATGCTCAGGGATACGTGATATGTGTATATATATGTATGTGTGCATATGAAAATATTTATTAAGGACTGCAATTATAGGGTGTAAATGCTTGGAGTTATTTCGTAATGATTTGATGAACCAATTGAAAGCTACTTGCTTACAATCTGGAACTTGTGAACTCTTTTAAGGAAATTATAAATTGAATTTATTGTTAATGAACATAAGTTTAATTTGCTCAAATATATTCTTCATTTTAAATTAAGCCCTGCTTTAAAAAATTCCAACAACAGTTGAAGATATTTATAGACTTGCTTGGTAAAGAATATAAATCTGCATTATAACAAGTTAGTTTCCCCCTTATTACTTTGTTAAAAAAAATAGAAAACATGTTCGGCGATTTCTATTCTTGAAAACTTGAACATACTGATAGAACTACAAGACAAATTTCGAGAAGAACTAAACAATGGCAAGACTGATTTTTTAACAAAGCCTTAAATAATTAAACAAAAGCTGAAGCTGCTAATAGTTAAAAAGTCTGTGTTTGCATACCCGCAAAAGTATACAAAAATAACAACACAAATCTATAAGCTCTTTATTGGGTTAACAATGTCTACATATCACAAAACTTTCCACATGGTCTTAGGTAGCTCTTCTATTTGTATTTATTCTAAAAGCGCGACAACTGTGTTTTCACATGCAAGAAGAGTTCAAGCAAATACATAAAAGATGCGAAGCTTCATATTCTTCCTATAAAAAGACCAGACCGAACCCGAAGATTTATAGTGATCCAGTGACACAGCTCCAATATGTGTTCCAAACTCACCCTGCTCCTCGGAGCTCTGGCTCTCATCGCGGCTGTCTACGCTGCGGATCCGACTACTCCAACAGATCCTACTTCCCCAACTTCACCAACTTCGCCTACTTCACCAACTTCTCCTACTTCGCCTACTTCGCCTACTTCACCAACTTCTCCTACTTCCCCTACATCGCCAACTTCACCAACCTCACCAACGGCACCCACCTCGCCCACCGATGCCGCCGCCACCACAACGACCGCTGCTCCCACCACCACAGTTGCCTCGACGACCACGAGGACCCGCCGCAGGAGGTTTCGCAGGCGTTGGATTCGTAGGCGCAGGAACAATGGCAACCGCTGGAGGCGCAGGAGGTTCAATGGTGGTCGCAGGTTCCGTGAAGGAAACTTTGGCGGTCGCAGGTTCCGCGAGGGAAACTTCGGTGGTCGCAGATTCCGGGAGGGAGGATTCCGTGAAGGCGGATTCCGTGAACGCAGGATCGAGCGCATCTTCTAAGATACTCTTGAAAATCCGCTAAACCATTGGTCTGGCAATAAAATCTGAATTCTAAAACGAACTGTCAAATATTCCATTGGGTGGGACAATCTTTCTTTTATATTTTATATCTGACTTAACATAATAATTTGTTTCCTTTTAAAATACCTTGGCAGAGTAGTTTAGGCAGGAGCATTGAAGCATTGAGCAGTGAAGGAAGCATTTCCATTTATTGATCAGCAAAAAAGCCTGATCAATATACCAATGTCTGGTAGAAAAATAAATTTCCGAAATTTTTATCGAAATTAAAAAAAAAAATTTCATTAAAATTTAAAAATTTCGACAAAAATGTTAATTTTTACAATTTCAAAACAAAGTATAAAGGCTTGTTAACCTATTAAAAAATAACACAGAAACGTTTTCCGAAATGAAGACATTTTTATAATTTATTTGTATAACTAAATTAAGATTTTAATGAAGAAAAGGTAAATAAAAGTATAAAAAGAAATGAGACTATTACACCGGTGCGTATACGTAATTTGTTGGGTCTTTGCTATATGTAAATGCTTAAAAGAATATGTAAAAAAGAATATGTATTAAAAGAATATGCGGAAGCCATCTAGCGGCCAAAAATCGAATTGCATTGCAAACTGTGTTTCCGGTCTAAATTCAGCGCAAAAGTATGCAATGTATTGGTACTGCCGACTGTTGCTCAAATACGTTACGTATACGCACAGTTGTAATTAGTTTTTAAATAATAAGTATATAAAAATTTAATTTTTAAATATATATATATAGAAAAGAGGTTTTTTATGTTTTTGCTTAATTATAGGAAACCCCGTAGTATCTTTTTTTAAGGAATATATTTAAATACTTGCTCTCTTCTTACTTAAATTAAAATGCCCTTCTTCATTGATTTGTAATTTATTCTCTTCAGTCTAAACTTTAAAGTCTTTCACAGCTCTCGGTATTGACTCAGCTTGACAAAGCAAATAAGACTAGATTTTAAAAAGTTTCCAGGTATATACTGCCTAATAAATAAATCGGTTATTCAACCTTTATTTGCCCGTCTGCCTAGAATTTCCATTCATATTGTTTAAACATCAAATATTTGGCACAAATGGTGTAAGATCTTCAATGAAAAGATTAGCCCTTCTTTTTATTAAACGTTTTGTTTGCTTTGAAAGTCCGACGACACCTGTCTCAAGCAAACATATTACACAAAATTTAGACTATAAAAAAGCAGACCTAAATCGAAAGATTAACAGTGATCCAGTGACACAGCTTCAAGATGTGTAACAAACTCATCCTGCTCCTAGGCGTGGTGGCTATCATAGCGACTGCCTTCGCGGCGGATCCTACAGATCCAACCGATCCTACTTCTCCAACGGATCCGACTTCCCCCACTGATCCAACTTCTCCAACGGATCCGACGTCTCCCACCGATCCAACTTCGCCCACCGATCCCACTTCACCCACTGATCCTTCCTCTCCCACCTCACCCACCGATCCTGCTGCGCCCACTGATACCGCTACCACGACAACCACCGCTGCCCCCACCCCAGCCCGCACAACCAAGGCCGGCGGCAGGCGTCGCAGGTGGCGCAGGCGTTGGATTCGTAGGCGTAGGAGGAACAACAACAATGGCAATGTGATCCGCAGGAGGCGTATCTGCCGCACCGCTGGTGGAGTCCGTCAATGCATAGTTGAGCGTATCCTCTAAGATGTCGAAGAGAATCCTTAAAAAGAAATGGTCATTTAATAAAATTCGCATTAAAAAAAACTATTGATTTAATATTCATTAGAGGTGTAGCTTAAAGAACTTTTAAGCTATCATTATCTGAGAATACTTAGCTTTATATGATTTATTTATATATAGTTAATATTCTTGATCAAATTAAAAGGCTTGTTCCTATTATGGAAGTAGGCTTGACCAGCATTAAATCATAAGAACTTCGTTATAACTTATTCAGTTATTCATTCTTCATTTGATGGACTTCCCGAAATTGACGAATATATACCATTCTCTATGCAATAGAAATCAATTGTCTTAAGGAGCCTTTTGTTGGAAATTCCTGCAACATTGCTTTAGGGATTTGTGGAACACTGAGATTTATTTAATTATACACAGATATAATAGATTTATTGGATTTCGAAAACTTACATTATAAGACTGCTTTTAATAATACTCTAATTTCATATCCTGTAATTTTGAGCTTTATTTTTCTTTCTAATTTTAACTTTTATGAACTCAAAAATTAATCCTGCATTCTGCTGCCAAAGTCACCTTTGACTTGTGCACTGCAGTTTAATCAGGCATAAAGGTGCTCTTATTATAAATTAATTCAACAGTCAGTCAAGTCTACAGAGCCACAAAACACGATTAGTTTCGCCCGGGTTAGGCTTGACTTTATGGCCTATTTTGTGGCACAATGCAAAAGTTGGCAGACGGGGGGTGTCCTTTCAGTTCCTGCACCCAGCAGCGCATAATGCTCTTTTGTTCGGCCAGAAAGTCAGGGGGCAAAGTGCAGCTGTTACCCCATTAGCTATGCAGCGGCGAAAATTGGCCAAGGACGCTACAAGTTTTTGCAGCAAAGTGCAAATTTAATTTCTCACCAAAAGTCGTTATGGCGATCGGTTAAATTGTATTGACAGCTCGATATCGGAGACTCGATTCCTCTTCAGTGCTTCGCATTTTTTAACCCCCAATTCAATTCAATTGAAGTTGCATATTTATACGGCTCTGCGAGGACATTTTAAATTATGTATTCCATTTCAGAATTCAACAAGCCCGCTTGCTGTGTAAAAAAATAAATTGTACAAAATAATGGGAGATGAAAACTTGACTTGACCAGGCGTAATCAAATAAATGACGGCCTCACAATGGTAAAAAATAAAAAAAAAAAAATAAACACGAAAAGGGAAACCCAAACAATTGGGCCTGTCATAAAAAAATTGGAAAATTTCCCGGACTTTTTGGCTGAACAATTAAACCCGGTTTCCATGGAACGGCGAAGGGCAAAACTGAATTTCTGTTTCATTTGACAGCGCATTTCATTTTATTCATTTAATCCTGGCTCTGACTCAATTGCCGATAGTGACACTTGCAACAATTTATTGTGCTAAAATATTTACCTTGCCGTTGCTTTCATTATTTCACCCCAGAGCGCATTAATATTTCGTATGCTGGCACCCATGTCTCAATGAAATTAATTACACACTTGTATCCTTCGGATGACTTTAGTGACAGACAGACAGACGTCGCTCCAAGGATTGCAAAATTCTATTGTTCCCTGTTCCTACGTTGTGGCAGTTCCTGTTTATGTAAGAGAATCCAGGCAAATAACGTCACTGGGCTACACCTCCATAATGTGATTACACTGGGCAACACACAAGCCTCAGTTTGCCTCAGTCTTAGCTATTAACTTGAAATTATATTACATCATAGGAATCTTTATTTCCTCAAAATCGTATAAAAATATGTTAATGTAATTATGAGTATCTAGAGATACTCATTGGGAAATTTAAGTTATCAAACATAATCTTTATTACCCAAAAAAATAAATGTAAATGTGTATTTTGTTACCCAGTTTAATCGCAATGGCAGTCGACAGCCAGGACACCTGACAAAGACGCAGGAATAGAACCATGGTTTCCACTCATAGACGTCGCCTGTCGTCATCATCTCCCGTTTTATATAAACTTTTTGGTTATGGCAATATTGCTGGAAGGAAGCGAATGCCAACCAGGATAACTACCTGATGGGAGAGAGAGAGAGAGAACTCAAGCCAGGAGAGCTCTATGCGTAATTATAGAATTATAGAACAGTCGGAGCCGTACACGTGTCCCAGTTCCACAGACAGAGGTCCCAGCTGCGGCCATAATGAGCAAGGGGATTATGCGGAGAGGTGTGGACGAGCTGCATAAGTGTCCTGGCTGTCCTCGTCGTCTAATTATAAGGATTCTCCTCAAAGGCCAGGAAAATGGCTGCTAGTCCCCCTTTTTGTGGGCCGAGAATATTACAACATTAAGTGAATTAATAATCTTAAAATAATGCTTTTGTCTGGCCATAATATTATTCAAAAAAATATGAGAGAGATAACAATTAAATAATAACAAGGATTAGATAAAGGTAGACAATCATAGGAGGATTAAATAAATCCAACAACTTAAGTTATCCGAAAATAATTGTGTTAAGAAACTAACACTTTCTTTACAAAGTGAAACAGATAAGTTAACATTTTCTAAATGCTCTCCCCTTTTTAACTAAAAGCTCCCCCAGGATAACCCTCATATAACAATACCTTTAACAAATTATATTTTAATTAATTTCTCAACAAATTATACAGCTCGGACAAACTAACTAATTAAAAATTAAAACCCAATTCCCCTCACAGATCAACAGCTGCTGATACAAGCTGTCAGATTTGTTTGCTCTATCCAGAATCAAGAATCCCATTAGCTCATACTCCTGAAAAAACCCAAAGGACTTACATACCCATTTGAACCCTTTTCAACGCTAAGACAGACTGTCAAACATTTCGCAAAGGGGATATTTTTAAACAAGCCTAAGGTACTCTCTTAATTTAATATGTAATAAATAAGTAATTTTTTTTCTGCAGAAACAATGTGTTGAATTTTATATTATTTTTAATGTGTTTAATTAAATATACAGGGACAAATTATATTTGTATTTGTTATTATTCTTGTTCCTCTGTTATGTAGTTAACAGTCACATTTGTATGTTATATCCTTTCTGTGATGATTCCTGTTAACTTATAACTAACATAGTCCTGTTGCGCTCTTATTCCGAATTTTCGGAACTTTCTTTCTCTCAGTAGCTCTCTCTCCACACCTTCCAGTCTCTCCTCTCTCTCTCTGTCGTTGGAAAAGCCGCCAAAATGTCAGCTGTTTTTCCGGCTTATTCGCGCGCTTACTATATTTTGTGGAAAATATATATTATATAAAGAAGAAAATACATTCAAAGGCAAAGCAAATATGTAGCGCGACGTTTATCGCGTCCAGTGTCGCCTTAACCAATTTAATTGAGTTTAATTTATGAGCCGGACTGGAACGTCTCCGAATCCATGTGGCGATAAGTCGCAATTCGGGGATTTCCCTCTTCTAGGAGGGAGACTCAAAATGGTGCGTGTCCAAATCGCATTTCGAGGGCGAGGCCTCGACCGGCTAGCTGAGTAAATAAAACGCGAAATAAAATAAAACAAAATGGAAATGGAAATAGAAATCGACATAAATAAATTGCTGGCGAAAACGGTTTTATCGCCGCCACAGCCTTTGACACTTTTGTGCTTAATGGCGGTTCCCCTCGCCTCTAAAACACACACACTTGCCAAATGATTTAGGTTCAAGACTGGCCCACATGGCGTATGCGCAATTAAAATATTTCTTGCTCGCATTTTCCCTTCACTCTTATCGTTGCGTATGTTCTCGTATCAGACATAAATTTAACTTTGGCAGACAATCAGAGGAACACAACCAAGAAAAAAAATAAAAATAATAATAATACTAAAGAAAGGAGAACAACTAATTTGACAATTGGTTTGTCTGAGAATTTCAATATGTTTCCTTTGAGCCAGAAAAATGTATAGGAGGAGGAGGCCCATTATCATAATTTGTCCTTGGCATTCATAAATTCTGACTTGTCGGCAAATGTGTGCAAAAAGTTGCTAACAAGAATGTTTCTTCTTGGTATTAAGTTTTTCCGCCACGCTTGTTTACCACAAGAAGTTGATTTATGAAGAGCGCGCGGTTATTTGTTCACGGTTTTTTGGTAGGAAGTTTTAATTGAAAGTGGATAAAATAGGTGTTCTCCAAAAAAAGAAATAGTGGCTGATATGGTAAAATTTTTAACTTGAAATTACCATTAGATATAATACTAACTTTTTTTCAATTATTTCAATTAGTAAACCATTTACTTATACCTAAATATATATTCATAATGTATAATTTCTTTTTCAGAATTCTTTCTACATTATTTCCCTCTTCACCTTAATTGAATAATAAAAGGTTTCGGCTGGTAAGTTAAAACTGAACTTATTAGCAACATAAAAGAGTCTGTTTTTTGGCATATAAAATTCCCTTAGTCCCTCTGAGCCCACTTTTTCGAGGAATTTCCCAGTTGGCCCCATCTAATTGTTCCCACAGAGGCCAGCAAAAGTTGTGTTATTAATTTTTATTGTTTCACTTTCACGCTGTGTTCTGTGTTCGGTTCTTTTGCATTCCAATCTTTTGGAAAAACGGGCTCACTTCCATGTCCGACAATCCATTTCGAATGCAAATGAAAATGCCTGCGGCTTTACTATCCCCGCGGCCCCCAGAAATACATTCAAACATACATATATCCCAGTTATAAGAGTGTGTATACATATATATGTAGTGCAAGGATATAATGCCTTGCGAGTCCGGAGAACACAGTTTTTCCATTTGTGTGTGTCGCGTTTTAATTGCACACCAAAAAGGGGGAGAGAGAAGGGGCGACGGAAAATGCAGAAAAGTTCACTGTGGCCAGATATTTGGCCCAGATTTGGGTGCTTTGTGCCAAAAATGCTGCCAAACAGCGGGCAAATTGTCTGCAATCAGAGTGCATTTCTATGGACTCACCTATGTTTGCCACTTTTGTCACTTGTTTTAAGTGAGCAAATTGCTTCTAAAATTAGTGATCGAAAAAGCTTAAATATATATATTGATAATATTAAATGGTAA